CAATTTAAAGTTGTAACCCAGGGCATTGTCCCAGTAAGATCTAAACACACAGGGCAGGAGACATTCCATGATCAAGGGAAATTTAAATAGATTATTCCTTACTGAATTTTATTCAATGATAACTACTTTTCAGTTGCCTTGGGTGTATTTTCTGTAAAGATAAGCATAAATAGTTTTTATGAAATTATGTTGATATGACATTTAAAATAGAAAACAGAAAATTGCAAAGTAATGTAACAGTAATAAATAACTATTCTCAGTAATGTTACAAATAAAATAAAGTACAAATAAAGAAGTTATAAAGTGTTAAATAACATAAACTACTCTACAGCGAAATAGCAATATAGAAAGGAGAGGCCAAGGGGACCAGGTTTGTTCAGCCTGGAGAAGAGGCTCAAGGAAGATGTAGTTCTACTACTTGAAGAGGGGTTGTAGAGGAGACGAAACAACATTGTCTTTTTCAGGGGTGCATGGCAAACACACAAGAGGCAACAGCTACAGCTTGAGGAAGGGAAAACGCTGACAAGACATACGGAAAATACTTTGCACAGAGAGGGTTGTGCAACAGTGGACCAGAGCGGTGGTGTGGTCTCCATCCTTGGAGATGTTCCAAACTCAGCTGACATGTCCCCAAGCAGCCTGAACTGGCTTTGAAGTTGGCCCTGCTCTGAACAGGGAGATGGGTTAGATGACAGCCAGACATCCTTTCCCGCTAAGTTTGTGGAGCTCTTGCCTAAGCTCCCACTCCTTCTGAGAGATTTCAGAGTCATTTTTTGTCCCAACTGAGTTAGTTTGCTTGCCCCAAGTAAATGAACACAGGTATCTCCCTCCTTCCCCATCTCAGGGAGCTGCTCTTCTGGTAAGTGGATCGGCGTGGTGTCAGGTCACTCCAGGCGAGAGGATTGGGGCTGGCACCAGGGAGTGAGAGGATCGAGAGAGTTGCTGAACCTGTGGAAGCCCTGAGGTGTGGACTCCCTTAGGAGATACTTAAGCCCTGCCTACTCTGCCTTTATAAAAGGAGAACCTCTCCTGCACCTTTTAATATAGCTGTAAGCCAGGTTTAAAGACCATGGTGACCTTTTCCACAGGGAAATCACTAATTATGTGTATTTTCAGTTGCATTCATGGAAACTCAAATCTTCGCTGCTCACAAAGGTCACAGTTGTCTCTTGATGAGGAAGATGTGGAAAATTACCCTCATTCACTCACAATCAGTAAAATTAATAAGCAGAACGATATGTTAACACAGACTTATTTCTTCTGGACTGCCCAAACTGCTGTGCAGTATAATGTATATGCTAATGACCGGTAATTTACCACTAATGAAATTCAAGAAACAGGCCGTTTTTCTAGTTCACGTGCAGACGCCATCAGTGGGTCTCATTATTATTTGGTAGCACAGTATACTGACAATACAAATGCTGGGCATACCAGTTAAGCTGATTCTACCATAACGCATATTTAATAAATTGATACACATTTTTCTTAATTCAGAATTAACATTTTCTTTCTTCTAGTGAAATCTTGTACCAGTGTGCCTTCAGTAAAATGCAAATGAAGGCACTTTTCTGTAGGCAGTAGAGTGGTGAAACGATGACAAAGCATGGCTGGTAATTCCTCATTTCTGAGAGCTAGAGTTGAGGTTTAAGTTGAATTGTAAGGGACAATCTTCTTCCCTTCATGACTTAAATTATAATAATTCTGACAATTTATATATGGTGAATATCTTCTTCCATGATCTTCAAAGAATTTTAGAGGGATGGGTAGGAGTAGTTATCTTTCAGCGGCCAGGAGTCGAAGTAGCCCAGCATTGCTGTGAGCTCAGAATTGCTGGGCTCAGAGCCATTATTTAAAGAAAAATATTGAGTAGACATTTGCCCAATTGGGTGCGTTAAGACAGTTAAGTAATTCCACATAGAACAGTCGTAAACACCAATATTTGGGTAAAACATAAAAATGCTCTGTGTACCTGATAAGGTAACTCTAAGCCATATTTAAAGATCACATAGATCTTTTCCATAGGAAGGAAGGAATAAAGGAAGCCTTTAAATATAGAATTTGCAGGACAACAGAACAGGAAGAAAAAAACCTAAATCCTGGTGCAATGCACAAACCTGGAGTAGTTCTGAGGAAAAAAACCTTAATAAATTTCAGATGCAAGAAAGCATTTCTGAAGGAGTCAAAAAGCAGCCAGCCTCAGACAGTAGCAAGTATTACACAGCTAATATTTATATGATCTCTCCCCCACCCCCAGTGAGGGCCCACCTGAACAGTCTGCAAAATGAAGCTCTACTGATGTACATTTCAAGTTGTAATTCACCACGCCGGTATCAGATTTGCCATGACGATGATCAGGAAGCTATATGGAGGTGTCTGTAGCATTTACTTTTTGGATGCCCAGAATTATCCTCCTCATGTGAGACTGCTTTGGTATTCAAAAACCTACAAGAAATGGTCAGTTCTGTCATGTTTTTAAAACATACCCTGGATTTCTGCTGCAGGGTTTTATTTAGCTGCCCATGGTACATAGATTCGTACACGTTGTTCTAACATGCCGCAGAGAATCAAAATGTTTGGAAATTAAATGATCTCTGTCAGGTGCACCAAAGTTTTAAATCAGTTACAATGGAGACAATTTAGAAGAAAAAAAAATCAGCTTTTCTATAGCATAAGATTTAGTAATCATAAAGGTTGCCATAAATATTATTTATAGGACTGGTGTAAGTCTCAGGTATCCACTCAAAAGGTAGACAGACAATCTCCCATGAGTATCTATTTTAAAAATGTGTAAATAAGAAATTATTTGTCGAAGAGTGGCTCACACCTAATTAATCTGAAGAGAAAAGAAGAAAATATAGAAGACAATGAAGCTCCTGGCTACATAAGTAACTTCTGATGAGGTTTAACATCTGAGATTTCTGCAGCAGAAGTCTTCCAATAAGAACTAACTTAATAACATATATTGTGAATAGAATGCTCTCATTTGAGAGCAAAATGCTTTTAAAGCTATTATCTTACAATCTTCTATTTTACATTTAAATTTCAAAACATTCCGTACTTCTGTTCTTATTGCAAACACAGACATGCAGAAATTCTGAGAAGTCTAAAAGTCAAAAAGGCATTTCAGCTGTAATTCACATTGGGAAGAACAGGGAAGAGCTTAAAATTACCCATATATGCCTTGCCAAAAATACTCAAATGAGTTTTCAGCTAGAGTAGGAGGCAACACCATTCAAACGACGTTTTCTTTAAAGCTTGGAGATAACAGACCATCATGTATCTTCAAATGTGATGACTAGAGAAATGTTTCATTCAATGCACCTCATATTTTATAAAACTATTTCAGATGGAATTGTACCCGAAGGCTTTCAAGATCAGCTGAGTGGGTTTTCTGCACACATAAGCAGACGTAGGGCATATGAAAAATGGGTGCCAAAGTACTTTCATCAGAATAGCAGCCAATGAATTAATTCAGCATTTAAGAGATGGAAGTCCATTTTCCTTCTCTGTTCCTGATGGGAGTTCTACACAGTAAGTGGAGGTTCTAGGGGTCTGCTCTATCTACGCTATTACATTTATTAATGAGAAAACAACAAAGAGGGTGTTTATATTATTGTATGGGTCACCCCGCCTCACACAGCACTACCTGCATGTCACTGCAGAACTGGGTTTTGCAGGTCTGGCCTTGCCAGAAACCTTAGAGTTGACCCCATCATTCATTGGGCCAGGGAGAGAGTAGGCATAAGAATTTATTTCTGAAATTCTATACACAAAATAGGCATAAATATTTTTGAACACATAAAATATATTGGAAATATCATTACACAAAGAACCATTACAGACTGCTAAATATAGGTGCAAACTTTTCTAAAAAACAAGCTCCAACTGAAAGAACATTTAGATGCATTTCATGTAGTTGTGAAATATATAGATACGCGGTTTCAAAAATAATTAAACAAATCAAAGGAAGAAAAATCAGTCACAGAATCACAGAATCACAGAATAGTAGGGGTTGGAAGGGACCTCTGTGGGCCATCTAGTCCAACCCTCCTGCCGAAGCAGGGTCACCTACAGCAAGCTGCACCGGACCTGGTCCAGGTGGGTCTTGAATATCTCCAGAGAAGGAGAATCCACAACCTCCCTGGGCAGCCTGTTCCAGTGCTCCGTCACCCTCAGAGGGAAGAAGTTCTTCCTCATGTTCAGACGGAACTTCCTGTGCCTCAGTTTGTGCCCATTGCCCCTTGTCCTGTCACTGGGCACCACTGAAAAGAGCTTGGCCCCATCCTCCTGACACCCATCCTTGAGATATTTGTAAGCATTTATAAGGTCCCCTCGCAGCCTTCTCTTCTTCAGGCTGAACAAGCCCAGTTCCCTCAACCTCTCCTCGTAGGGGAGATGTTCCAGTCCCCTCATCATCCTCGTAGCCCTCCGCTGGACTCTCTCCAGTAGCTCTTCAGTCAAAGACTGCTAAATTCAGCAGGCAGTCTCTCTGGCACAGGCAGTCCTTCAGCCAAACTGCTGGTGGAGTTTTGCAGGGCAGTACCGCTAAGTACATGCCCTGCTCAAAGACTATTCCCATAATCACTTTCAGAGGCAGGCCAGTGGTCTAGATAAACATCTATTCACAGGAGTGGATCTGAATAAAAACTTCAAATTCCCTTCCACGGTTGTCAATTGTATCTTTGCTTTTCCACACTTAAGAAGTGATGTGGTACTGCCATCAACTGGAGTTAAGAAATGTAAGGAAAAGGGGGTTTTTTGAGTAGAAACTGTCGTGCCACTGGGTACCTCAGCGCCTCTCAGCTTGGGAGGGATCAGTGCCCATAGCTGGAAATTCAGAGGTCTTTTTGTCAGGAAACATAAAAGTTGCTTATATGTTTTGCATGCATAAGCACAAAAACATCTAAGCTGCTTCCTTTCTGAATTGTCTGAATCTTCCATCACGTATTTCTAACCTAGCAGGCAAATCCTTACCTTTTTCTTTTTCATGTAATTTTTAGGACTATCAGGAAGCTTCTAATCTGGAGCAGTTTGTGACTCGCTTTCTTTTGAAGGAAACACTGAACCAGCTTCAGTCCCTCCAGAGCTCCCTGGAGTGTGCCATGGAAACCACGGAGGAGCAGACTCGGCAGGAGAGGTGAGCAAACCTTCTGCCCAGCTGTATGGAGGCGGTGAGGAGTAGGGTCACTGTGAACCTCCAAGACCCTTCTACATTCCATCTGGCAACCTGATGTAGGGAATAATAGGAGAAACAAGGATACTCTTTTTATTCCATATAGGAACTCACTAATAGGAGTTTTCCTGAAAACAAATACAAGCAGGTTCCAGTCTGATCCTGTGGTGGGCTGCATGTAGGAGGACCATATTGTTATATCCTAGGCTCTGCTCCTTTGACTTCTTTTTAAATCCATTGACTATTCAATATCAAATGCTGAAAACAGACCACTACAACGCGAAGAGCTCTGAAATTACCAAGACCATTGACCGTCTCCTTGTTTGTTTCTTCCAGCTTTATGATTTTTGTTTCATTCCTGGTTGCACAATGATCCCAATGTTAAGAGGAGATATAGCCAGGTGCTTGCTTGTTACAATTTCTTCCTAGAACGTAGGGCCATAGTATTAGTTACCATCTAACTCTGTAAACTCCCAGTCACCTGGGTAACCTATATCCGTCCAAGGGGTTTAGCTGAATTTAATTCCAGAACCTCATAGATTAGTGTTTGTAGGATCAAGGATCAAAACATTTTTTAAAAGGTACTTGGACTGTGGATTTGTTCTCCTCAGTATGCTGTTGTAAAGATGATAGGGAAAGCAAAATACAAGCTGTTATGTTTCATAGACAAAGATCTCAACGTTTCATATGTTTTAAAATGCATTGCTTTTTCATCCTTTTTTTTGGAAATGTAATTTTCTTGTTTGTTTTGCTGTTGGTTTTGAGATCTCTGAAGTACATGAATAATACACTGAGCTTTTGTGCCAGCAGCTCGACCGCAGGAATCAAACAGGTTTTGAAAGGCTGAGAGTGCATCAAGTACGCACAGTATATATGCCCCTCCATTCACACATACGTCTTTCCAGGTTCCCCACACAACTGATGGGAGAGAAAGAAGTCTCCAATGGCCAGTTCAGAGCTGGAGCCTAATGCATGTGCTCTAACACCCTTGGAGTAATGATTGATTTCTTCTCTGACTTGCCTTTTGGGACAGCCTTTCTGGAAATACAATCTAGTAAGACCATCTGAGTAACTCAGACTACTCACTTGAGTGTGTAGAATTGGGTGATATGACCATCCCTTTTGCTGCCAGCTTTCTCATCTGCATTGACTGGTAGGGTATTGTGGAGACTTCTTTTTCCAGTTTTCTCAGTACAGTTACTCAGAAATATCCTCTTGGATGGTGTATTTGGTTTATGGCAAAGGAAATCAGAGAGAGTTGTGACACTGTTAAGCCAAATACCATCTTCCCCATTTTCTGAGATAGAGCCAGAAAAGCCAGGCAAACTCAGCACTTTACAGATATTTTGGAGAAAATGAGTTAGTTCCTAGTGCAGATACCCCAGTCCCTTTGTGAAATCATCTTCAATTATCTGTAACTTAACTCAGGGGCAAACTGTCTAAACCAAAATCCCATCAAGACAATCCTAAACTAATTTACGAGTGCTTACAGTGGGGAACTGCCATAATTTGGGTTACTGTGAAGGGATTTTATGCCGCAGAAAATACCATCCTAAAACATCTCCTTAACATAGTGTGTGCACTTTTGGTGAGCCTTCATTCTGTGCTTCAGGGGACCAGAGAGCTTTCCAAAGCAGTGACCTGGGAATTATTTACTGAACTGTTTAGGCTACTGTCTAATATTCTTTGCAACCACTCATCCAACTAATTGTTCAAAACTAACCGTAGTCCTGGTACTGCATCGCTTTCCAGCTGGATGATGAAGAACCACATAGACACAGCCTTCAGCTCTCACAGCAACTCTCAAGCTTCAATGACTCTGTCACTGCAGTACAAACATAAGTCATTTCTGTATCTGTTGTGTTTCAACACTGGTCCCAGAAATGTATCTGCCCTCTATCCAATATTAGCTAATTCTAATTGGTTTTCCTTCCTTATTAATGGATACATGCTGTTGTTCATCTTTTAAATCCTTAAGCTGAAGGGGTCAGTGTTTAAAGTTCATATCTCGCTTCTAGCTGTTCCTGTGACCCCAGTTCCTCTGCAGAGACATTACGAAACTCCCGTGAACGAAGAAACGGTGTGAATGGTTCCTTAGGCCAGGTCAGAACCACATCACAGACAGACACTGACCTTGAGCTTTCTCTCCATAAAAGATAGGTTTGTGCCACCTTAACCGTCCTTTTGGTTATTTTTGCTGCTCTAGTGCCTAGCAACCTAAACACAACTAATTAGTAATAATGAAAATCTGGAAAATAATTCAATGCCCTTAATAGGTACGTCTCCTTTTTTAATTCAGAAGTGAATATTTTTTGAGAACAGAGAGAGGAGAGCTCTCCCACATTTTACCTTATGAAGTCTCCTGTCTTTCTGTGCAGACAAGGCTCAACAGAACCAGAAGCGCTCTCAATTCAATGGCCAGGAAAACGCTCAGTTCGAAGGCTTCAGAGGAACAACAGCCTGTTGCCGAATAGCCCTCATTTTAGCACAGGTATGGTATTTCACATATTAAAGATATGTAAAACACGTGCATACACACACATATACAGAAAAATATACATCTATCTCTCTCTAATATGTAGTTTAGACATGGTAACCAATATACCTTAGTGACAGAAATCAATCTTCAGTTTAACATAGAAGGTATTAGCTCAAACTGTAAGGAAAATAAACATGTATCCATAGATCTGAACTGATAATAAATAAGTACATAATTATGGGCCAAACCATGATATTGTTTTGGGGCTGTGGTTTGATGCAACATTTCTTAGGGAATATTTGCAGCCTGCAGATAAGAATGAAAAGGTGAAGGCTATAATTTACACAAAACCAAGTTTCTGTCATGACTTAGATCAGCTGAGGTGAACAAACAAGAAACAGAAAGAGCAAATACAAAACCTGAAGGAAAAGAAGATTTCCTTTAAGATGATGCAGATGACTGTAACAAAACTGAAAAGCCCTCAGTATAAAAACAGCTGTTGCAGCTGAATGAACCTTTTATGAATGAAAACCCCTTATTCCCAATGCATACAAGACATTCTACGATTCTACGATTATGTTAGGCAGCTCCTTCAGGAATCCCTCAATATCAGGATTCCTCAACATGCCATGTCAGAAACCTCAGTAGGAACAACCCCATGCACCAGTACAGGCTTGGGGCGGACCTGCTGGAGAGCAGCTCTGCGGAGAGGGACCTGGGAGTGCTCGTGGATGACAGGTTAACCATGGGCCAGCAGTGTGCCCTGGCTGCCAAGAAAGCCAATGGAATCCTGGGATGCATTAAGAGGAGTGTGGCCAGTAGGTCGAAGGAGGTTCTCCTTCCCCTCTACTCTGCCCTAGTGAGGCCCCATCTGGAGTACTCTGTCCAGTTCTGGGCTCCCCAGTTCAAGAAAGATGTGAAGGTCCTTGAATATCTTGAGAAGAGGGCAACAAAGCTGGTGAAAGGGCTGGAAGGAATGTCCTAAGAGGAGCAGCTGAGGATTCTGGGTTTGTCTAGCTTGGAGAGAAGGAGTCTAAGGGGTGACCTCATTGCTCTCTACAGCTTCGTGAGGAGCGGAAGTGGAGAGCGAGGTGCTGAGCTCTTCTCCCTGGTACCCAGGTATAGGACTCATGGGGGTGATTCAAAGCTATGCCAGGGGAGATTTTGACTCCTTGCTTCAGCAGGGGGGTTGGACTAGATGACCCACAGAGGTTCCTTCTAGCCCCTACCATTCTGTGATTCTGTGATCCTTGAAACCCAGATCATTTAGCTGCATGTGTGCACCCAATTAGTTCTTTTCTGCTGCTCAGAAGACTGTAGTTTTTCACTGGGAAGGCACACATATACTCTTAACTTTTCAACAATCCTGGAATCCTGCTGGAAGCACCGTATCAGGACCCTAAGAACAGCAACAGGCCTACCATGGAAATGTCGGGGCCCTACAGTAGGTCTGCTGTCTCCCTGCAGGAGGAGGAAAGATCCTACCACCAAAGTTGTATTGGCCACGCCAGGATATTTTAGACAGGCTTGACTGCATTTCTTTCACCTTCACCAGTGCTCTCAGGGGAAAGAGGAACTGAGAAAAGACACAGCACGTGGTCCCTCCATGGGATGTATTTGAAAGGAATCCCAGAGACAGGCTTGCTATGCAGCCCAAGACCTGACTCGTACTGTTATACAAACTTGCATGTAAAGAAGATTAAAAAATGGCAAACTAAGAAAAATATTAAGACAGAGAAAGCTTTAAAACACACACACACACACACACACTACCCCCCCCCCCACACAAGCTGATTTTGCATTTTGAGCAGAAGGTGCTCAGGTTATGAGCTCATTCCATCTGCAAAGGAGAGCACTCCTTTCTTCAGGTATCAGTATGATTTCAAAAGCACTGGCATTAATCTAGAATGTAGTTTTGATTCTATTCTATCTTAAAAAGAAAGAAAATAATTCATATAGTTAAAATCATGCTTTCCTGCAATTGCACCTAAATGAACCCTGAAGTAGTTGCAGCACAGTCTTGAAGAAGCAGAATAAATTGCAAGATAGGCTAAACTTTTTTATAAAATAAATGAATACACTATGTTCCAGCATTTATTAACATTTTATAAATGTTCATTATTTTCCACAGGTTGGATTGAGGAAGACAGCCAGTGGATGACCCAGATAAACAGACTCCAAAAGCTGATTGACAGGCTGGAAAAGAAGGTGTGCATTTCTTTTCACCTGTTTGTTCTCTTATTCTCAGTAAAGCAATCCTTAAACCACACCTGCTTTCAGTATCCCAGTTGCAGTCTTTCCAATCAATAATTAGTGAAACTTCAACATCACCTAAGAGAGCTAGCACTCATTAAATGTCTGCGTACCCTTTTACCTTCTTTCCTATTTCATGAGAGCATGACATGGTTTTCCCAAGCTCCCCTTGTCCCTTCCCATCACCACAGATCCAACTTTTCAGATAGATTGGAAAAGTCACATTATTCTATGACTGGAGGATATTATTGTACTTAGTTATGCTTGTTCTGGGGAACATGGGGCAAGCCTCTCCTTTTAGGATCTAATTTTTTCCACTTCCTCTCCAAACTTTCCCACTAAATCTTGAGAGAAAGTTTTGTTTCCTCCTTCCCTGTCAGCGAATACTAATTTATAGAGATTAAAACACTTTCCTGATAAATACAGTTCAACCAAAAGCTGATGCAAATCGCGCCTGGGAACCGTGGAAGCGGCCCCAGTGCCCTGAGACCGCCTGCGGTTCCCACGCCAAAGCAGAGCCCTCCAGGAGTCTGACAAACGACCCGTCCCGTCTAAGCCAACGATATCATGGCTTCCCAGGGCTTGCAAAAACCTGAGTAACATCTGTCTGTACAGAAAATATCTATTTCTTTGGTTTCCAATCAGATTTATTGCTACCCTAGGTTTTAAAAGTTGGCTTATGTCTGTGTGTGGTGAGTTGTTTGGGGTTTTTTTGGAGAAAAAGGAAGAGCAGAAGAAAAAGTAAGGTATAAATTCCTATCTTGTTCTCTACATAAGGTGTCCCTATTGAAGGACAGACAGACAATTTCAGATAGGTGCTAAGGGAGTAGCTGAATTCAGTGGATTTGGGGACCCAGGGGATTTCTTCCTCCTGGTCCACTAAGGTGAGGTTTTTGGTTGAAGCGCTCTCAGACCCAGGAGTTGCTCCAGTCCCAGAGCGGCTGATGCTGCCCCTCCCTGCAGGCCAGCGCTCACCAGCAGTGAGGCTGTGCCCATGCTCCAAAGACGTGGATCCATGCACAGCAGCATGGGTGACGCTCACCAACACCTGCAAACAGACATGCAGCACTCGTGGAAAAGTGGACATGCAGCAGCCTGATCCTACTCCTTCTTCCCAGCTGATCAGGATGGATGTTGTCCTGCCAACGTTATCATGGGCTTCAAGTCCATTTGTGGCTGGACCCATGCCCCTTGCCTAGGCATCGGCTCAGACCTTGGGTCCTGGCAGACAAGTGTCTTCTCCTACTCACCCGCGAGTCCAACTTGAGTTCAGTAGCAAATCATGCACCCAGAAAATATTTAGGTAAGGGATTTAACAAGAAGACAAGAATAAATGGTGGTGATCCAGCACAGGGCTCAGCAAGACAAGGATGCTGACCTTTTTCTGCCATTGCTCCCTCACAAATGAACAAACCACCCCTAACTACTTTTCCCCTTTGGTCCCAGTTTAGGACCAAAATTTTGTATTTCTGTTACCTCAGCCTTACTTCTGATTAGCTGCGTTACCAGTACGGTCACCCCCGGCACTGCTGCCCTTACAAGGCTCTACTAGCGGAAAGGGGCCCAGTGCTCCCTTTGGTTATTCCTGAGGTCTGACAGCCTCTCGCATCGCTTCACCTTAACCAGCTGTGAAATTCGTCCATTCCTTGTGGCACTGCCTGTAACTTCTGTCAGCTTCTTACTCTGTTCCTTGCTATGCTTAGCAGCTCCTCATGATCTGCTCAGTCCATTAAGCCTCTGGCCAGGACATACTCACCCGCCTGCACACAACAGCTTCCTCCCAGAGGTCGTTTCTGCATGAGAAAAGCAATTACACAGCAGTTTCCACGTTAATGACATTTTAGTAGCAAGGTGATTTTTTCTGAATAGCTATAAATTGGATTTCGAATGTCAAAGTCCATCATGAAATCCAACTTTCGCTTTTGGTCCAGCTTTACTCCCAGCTCTGCTTTGGAAGCAGCAGCTCTCTGCCCTGCCACAGTGACCTCCCAACACGGACTGATGCCAAAAGGAGTTTAAGGAAAGTTAAAATTTAATAGAATGTTACTGAAAAAGAAACTTGGCATACAGCAATAATGCAATGCAAACGTTCCAGAAAGCAGCTAACCATTTTGTAGTAAATAAACTTACAAGGATATTATAAAAGGATGAAATCTGCTACAGATACATGACAGGGAACTTCAGTTTGAAAAGGAGCTCAGCGCCAAAGGAAAACAGTGGCAGGGCACAGACCTTATCTCCTTATCTATACAAAACTTGATTAATAAAGCATAGCAATTAGAGAAACCTACTTTTGCCATTAGACAGACTATATCCACCTTTGCCTGACTCTGCATCTGCTTGATTTTGTATCTCATGGCCAGGTCTAACTGTGAGAGGTAAGAAGCTCACCATTTCTGCAGCCTCTCCAGGACCACCTCTTATAATTATTCTTCTCTTGGCACTTCTTTCTGGCCTCTGTGAACTAAAAAACCCAATTTACTAGGCACACAACTTAGAAATCATAAAGCCTCTGGTTCTATAAAGTATCCTAAGGCCTATTAAAAAGACTGTGAGAATTCTTTTGCGTGAACGCCATTGCTCTTGTTTTCATTTTGTTACGCCTTACACTTCATTACAGCAGGAGGAGCTTCCTGTGACCCATGTTGGAACAGCATCTGGCAAAACAGTGGCTGGGTCATGACTGCGACAGGCACGTATTGCAGAAAAGATGTTGGTGCCTCTTAGCAGTAGGAGACTGTCAGCCCATCTACTCTGTTCCAAAGCAAAGTCAAGAAAAGGCAAAGTCAAGAAAAAGTAAAGCTGATTGCTTTAATGACCACTGAGTTCAGACTAGAGCAACTTAGAAACATCAAGTGGTGACCAAGGAGTTGGTCACCACTTCCCACCTGGGATAAGGCCATTACATATGCCGTCTCTCAGCTGTAACTTAATCATTTTTAGCTGAGGTGATGTTCCAGGTTAACCCACATCCAATCAAGTGTTACATTTCAGCTGTCTTTCAGCAGCTACTAAAGCTCTTCTTTTTGGCTTTGCCCTCAAGCAGATTAGAAGGGCCACACAATCACACCAAGAGGCAATTATTTCAGAAGCCACCACTTCTCATCTGAGATGCAGTAGGACCGAGGAGGCGTTCTCAAGCCCCAGTTCTGAGCTGCAGTCTTGGCCAGTTTTCATTTCCAGGCTGTGTGATAACTGTCTGGCAGGAGCTCTCATCTCCACATTGGGCGACTTCACCCACGCTCAACATTCAGCCAGCTGATGCCCGAGCACTCTTTCGGCACGGATGAGGACTATGCGCCAGTGCTCGCATGCTCCCGGGTCACAGCAAGCTGTCTGTGCAGACCTACCCCATCTGTGTGGTCACGCCTGTCTAACCACATATCATTGCAGAAGAACTGCTGTAGATTATTTCTAATTTCTTGAGGGGGTCAGCAAGCTCTCCATCAGTGGTTATCTACTGGAAAACTACTGGGTGAAGGACCGATATAGTGTTGTCTAACTCTTCTGCTGTCTGCTGTCAAAGGTGAATTTAACCACGAATCAGTCCCGTGAGTCCTTTTTTCTTCTCAAGTTCTAAAGTTACTGGAAAAAACAGAATTTTTTGCTTGATACCTTAAGAGAAAGTTTGCAGCACAACTCGAGTCATTCCCTTCCTCTCTTTTTCCATACATTTCCCTAGAAAAAAATTGCACTGGAAGTATAGAAGAACCCCAGGAATATGCATTTTCCCTCAGGGTTTTTATCTGAAGTGTCCACACTGAAAAATGAGCTACTAAAGCTGGGTGGGTTTTTTCCACACATGGATTTCGTGCCTTTCTGTGCACAATCTGCAGGAGAGGTACAGCTACACAGCAGGGACCGTGTGACCACTACATCACTCCTGCCTTGCTCTGCTGCTTGCTGCTGGTGGAGGTCCCCTGTGCATTGGGGTTCCACCTGCACACCTCTCGTTGGCTTTTCAGCCAGCACAGTATTTGGACTGGCAAAACGCCTGCTACCTCAGGTTAATCCATCCTCACCCAGCTGCAAGAAGAAGAATTTTTTTTGTCTTTGCTACACAAAAATTGTTTGCAATGAGAAGCGAAGCACCACTAACAAAGAGTGCATTTTTCTCCAGCCACTTATTTCAAATTGATCTGCTTTTATACAAGCATATGGATATTTTTCAGCATATCCATACGTCACTGGGTTGGAGGGTACTGCATGTGCCTAGCATGTAAGTGATAATTTTGTGTGCATTCCTAGATGGTGTTTGCATGAATCCCTGATTCATGAAGCATGCACCCACTCCGCATGCTAAGCAAGCATCCTGCTGCCTCACAGGGCTGCTGCCCAGCCTGTCCTCAGCAGCAAGCACAGCCCTTCAGAAACCTGACTTGGAGAACCGTGCACATCTTTTTCAATGCTAGAAAACAGTCCTTTGAACTATCCCCACACACCAAGAGAAGTTCCTTCTGTGTAAAGTTTTACGATGGTATTATACTAGCTGATAGTTCATTTCAAATTACCATCCTTGCTCATCTCCATAGTCCACATGACAATTTGAGAAGGTAGCTGGTTTTTTCGGTATTAAGTCCAACATATGCTTGTGAGCAAGTGGATTTGTTACAAATGAAAAATCACCGATCCACATTCTAAATAAAACTTTACAGAACAGCCTGGGTTGGATTTAACCACTGAAATGTGCAAGATTCTGCAAACAATGCTTGTGTTTGACTTACAGCTAATAGAGAAGGGATTTAATCACAACTTCTGGAGACATAACAGAATCTAGCTCTTGGAATATTCTTTGAATGTTAAAAAGGTAAGAGCATAATACAGTTGTAGCATTGCCTCTTATATTTCTATTTTCTTTTCAACTGCCTGAAAGGACCTAAAGCTTGAGCCATTTGAAGAGGAAGTTTTAGAAGAAAATGCAAAATCTGTAAGTGCTTTTCAAGATAATGACTTTCGACTTTTGCTTTTCAATGCCAGGTAGTAAGACAACAACCTCACCTGATGTTTTTTGTTAAAAAATAATAAATAAAAAAAGCACCAGCCTCACTTTCCCCAGTGATAAGGATCCATTTTAGTCAGCAGAATACATTGTGCAAGATGCGACACAACAAAACATAGAAAATCACAGAATCACAGAATGCTCGGGGTTGGAAGGGACCTCTGTGGGTCATCTAGTTCAACCCCCCTTCCGAAGCAGGGGGCAGCCTGTTCCAGGGCTCTGTCACCCTCAGAGTGAAGTTCTTCCTCATGTTCAGCTGGAACTTCCTATGGTTCAGTTTGTGCCCACTGCCCCTTGTCCTGTTGCTGGGCACCACTGAAAAGAGTCTGGCCCCATCCTCCTGACACCCACCCTTAAGATATTTATAGGCATTTATAAGGTCCCCTCGCAGCCTTCTCTTCTTCAAGATAAAGAAGCCCAGCTCCCTCAGTCTTCCCTCGTAGGAGAGATGCTCCAGGCCCCTCATCATATTACAACTTACAAAACCAAACTCATAACCAGAAATAAACTTACTTTCAATTCAATTCATGTTGCAAGCTCAAATTTTCAAATACACTACCATTCCTAATTTCTGGGCTTTGAACCTAACCAAATGCAAATCAAATACACAGGGAAAAACAAACAAAATAGATGATCTCTCAAATCCCTTATTTCATCACAGGAGTTGTATTAGATTTTTTCTTTTTTAAATGAGATTACACAATATTGCTAGACAAGCTGCTTACGATGGAGGAATAATCCATGAGATAACAGTATCATTAATCAAGGCAGAAACAAGTCAAAAACCTTTACAAGTGAGGAAGCTGTATTGATAAAGAAGCACGTGATGTTTCTTTATATATTTCATTAGTAAAGTTGACAAGCTTCAATGGATGAATCAATATGTAAATTACTTACATTAGCTAAATGATAACCATAATAATTCAGGATAAATAGGTCGTCTGTACTGCCAAGTGTTACCATAGTCCTCTTTATAAAGATTGTTCATTTTTTGTAGAAAGGTGGAGGCAAAAAAACCCCTCTCTATTCATCATTTAACTCGGGCTACCTTAGGCATCTCATTCAGGTGTGAGTCAGAGCTCTGAAAGGTAAAAGCCTACAAGAGCACCTCAATGAAAGGAACACTGCATCCAGTGCAGATTGTGAGAAGATGCTCTTTTCTCAAACCTCACACCTGCTTGCATACAGATTAATCCAAGGAAACACGTTGACTTTATTGCAGCATATTCCAAAGATCAACATTTGCTTTGCACTCTTCTGACAAGAGTCTCTCATCCAGGCTTTGGATAACTCCCATTTTCTCTAAGGTGGACGCTAATTTTGGGTGTTTCCATTCCACGCGTCAGCCCGCCTAGATATAAAAGCTACACTCAAGTGTTTCTACTTCACCACTCCTGAGTACTAAAGCGAGGACTGCAAACTTCGAAGGAACTTTTGTGGGTTTTCTTCGACGATTGTGGGGTTTTATTGTTTTATGATTGTTTTCTGAGTTTAAAGTACAAGGAATTCAGAGAACAATATAGCATTAACATTGTAATGTTTTTGTATCAGCACATAATGATTGTTCAGCGTCAAATGTCTGTGATAGAAGAAGAAATCGAGGAGTTCCGGCTTGCTCTGAAGCAGTACGTGGAATCTGCTTGTGCTCAGGGTGGCTGCTTGCAGTAAGTACAATGCTGTTTTCCTCGGGCTGCAGGAAGAAATGCAGTTTGATTTCTTGAATAACTTCTAAGTGGAGCTGGATTATTTACGAAGAGAGAATCTGTAACATCCTTCCTGGCTAGTTATGCATGTGTGTAAGACAGAGCTTTTCAAAGACAACTAAAATCAGAAAGAGATGTCAAAGTATATGTGCGGACTTTCAATAGTATCACAGAAACAAAACATGCAGATTTGGACTTCCAAATATATTTCAAGTTTTGACATCTCAATGTGAAAAACATTTACCCTTGTCAAAGGATATCCTCTTATTATCAGAAATTTAAAGGCTTCTCAGCTCTGCGAGTCGAATTCATGGCTTCTGGAAGCTCCTAGGCTGACAATCTTTACTGGAAAACTCATTTGCCATCCTTCATTTGTGCTCACCTGGCAAGCAAGCAACTTACCCACTTGTTTCTGTGTTTGGAAGCTTTCAAAATCTTCCCTTTAGGATATCATTTTCAAATCTCCATTGACAATAAATAATGGGAAAAAATAGAAAGCAAAATTTTCAGTGAAACAGTGTATTTCTGCTTTGCTCCTTTTAGAATTAAATACAACATTAGGACTGGGTTAAGATTAAATTTTAGTGACTCACCACTGTACTGAAGCAAAGCTTGAGAAAAAGCTTGAGAAAGCTACTTCCTTACACACTACAGATCATTATGAAGTAAGTATTTGTATAACGTGTACACAATAGAGGATCTTCTTATATATCCAAAGGCTTCAAAGGCTGCCTCTCCCATCCCTAATTTATAAGCCTTGTTGCTACAAGATCATCACACTGACGGTGATCGTATCAGCAGCGTTCGCACAGACCAGAAGAATTAAGTTAAGCTGGAAAAAGAAAAGAGTGACCTTTTTTTCAGTGGTTCACTTGTAAAGGTGGACTGATGAGGAAAATAAAATTCTCTTGTGGGCCAAGAGCTGGAAAAAGCAAAAAGAAACCTACTAGCCCCCTTCCAAAAATGAACATCCAGCAGAAGACGGTAGTGACTGCAAACTTGTCAGGGGAGAGGGCTCACAGGACTTCAGAATGCAACTTAACAAGTGATGCCAGTCTCTTTCCCAAGTTTGCAGGCGTCTGTAAGTCTGTATTGCCACCTACCGGTTGTTCTTCACTGTGGCTGTTTATGACCTTGACTTTTTTTTCCAACCGTTCTTGATCATTTTGCTATTTTACAATGTACTTTCAAATATCATGGAGACTGTCTTGGTAATGACATCAGTCAATTCCCTCAGGACTCGGGGATGCATCTCACCAGGACCCATAGACTTATGTATGTTCAAGTTGCTTGGGTGGTCACAAACCTGACCTTCTCTTACAGTGGGAGTGACATTTCTCCCCCCAGTCCCTCCCTTGAGGTCCATACACTCGAGAGGTGTGGGAAGACAGGTTGCCAGTGAAGACTAAGGCAAAAAAGCTGCGGAGTACCTCAGCCTTCTCCTCATCCATTGTAACCAGTTTGCTAACCTTGCTCTACAAGGGGGAACACTTTCTTTAACCTTCCTTTTCTGGCTGACATACCTGTAGCAGCCCTTCTTGATGTTCTTAGCATCCCCTGCCAAGTTCAGCTCCAGCCTCGCCTTGGCCTTCCTGACTCCATCCCTACACAACCGAGCAGCATCTCTGTACTCTTGCCAGAATACTGATCCCTGCTTCCACTGCCTGTGCAATTAATTTTCTGTATTCCTGATTAGCATTTGTTTAGATAAATGACACTACTGGAACAATATGAAAAATTAATTTCTCAAATAAGAGATTATCATAAGTGTACTAAGATAAAACAGTAGTAAAAATCAAGCCATGAAAATACTCCATGAGTTTAAAAAAAAAAAAAGTTCAGATAATTTGCAGTATATTTCCCAAAATCATGTATCTGTTTTTTCAAAAATCACTGCATTTGGTTCATACTCCTAAGCATTTGGAATAAGCTGTGTATATCCAATAACTTGGTCATGTTTGATTAAATTAGTTCTATCCTACAATTCTTAGTGTTTCCATACAGAAGCTTCCAAGTGACTCTCGCTTCACCATCTATGAGTTCTGGGAGAACAGCAATGTCTGGAATACGTAAGTTTCGGTCTTTTTGATTTTGGAGATTTTTTTGTATTACAGAAAGTTTTGAAGGTTAGAGAGCAGTTGTGTAGAAGGATTAAATACAAATTACTTTAAATACAGCTAACTGATCTCTTGCTAAATATATCACAGCTAATACTTCAGAACAATACTTCAATTGCTAAAGACTAAAATATACTGAAACATGTAAATAAAAATGTCAGAAAGACACAGCTGGTTTGAACAGAACAGAAAATGCCTGAAAGCGAACAGTGAACGGTATGGCATCAGAGGTATGGTGGTTGATCAGAGACAAAAGGATACAGGAACTGCAATATTACCACAGTGCAATGATGACAATGAAAGACACGAATGAGACAGGCGGTGCGCCATCCAGCAACACACTCCAGCATGCAAGCAGTCCTGGGGAGCTGTCCCAGCGCTTCACAAATCCGCATCACCAAACCCATCCAATAGATTCCCAGAATGTCTGTTTTTGGCCCCAAATAGAAGTTCTAGTCATTAAAAGTCCTACTTGCCAAATTCTAGCCCGCAGCAGGCAGATGGCTAAGAAATTGAGACAAAAAGATTTTCCTTAATTACTTTTTTATATTAAAATAACCCCAAACAAAACTCACAATCCTAAATCTGTAGACAGAAACCATGAAGGAAGACTGAGAAGTCTGTTGAAGCTTCATTTCTCTCCTTTTGAACAAAGCCCCAGTTCAAAGTTTACTTTCAGAAAGACTCAAGAACCCTGATACCACGTCAACACGCTTGGAACAAGAACTGCTGTACTAGGTCACAACAAAGAGATGAGCATCAAGAACAGTTAAACATAGAGAAGAAAAAGTGTGTTTAATATAACATGCAAAACTTCACAGCCTACCTGGTCTCCTCTCCCGCTACCATCATTTTCTAGATATTGAAGCACAAATTCTCTGTTTTAGCATTAATCGTAAAATTTCTGATGCTGATAAAAATTTTTTGCGTCTTTAAAAAACCTGATATATTCTTGGTTTTTTACCATTATTTAGTCACCTTCAAATGAATTACAGCAAGACATTCCAAAGAAGTAACGTGGACTTCTTGGAAACTCCAGAGCTCATCACAACAATGCTAGTCCCTGGTAAATACCAATTTTTCACAATATTTTGTTTATTCCATGTGAAGAGTTCTGCTATATTAGTGTGTTCCATATGCAGGACCACCGCATAATATCACCCTGAGTCAGATTTTCATTGGTAAAGTATGAAGGAGAAAGGGACTCCAAATGTTTCTGTTTTAAGCACAGAAATGTAAAATGCATCAGCAAGAGCCACAATGATTTATTTTATATAGTGCGAAGTTATGCTAGCATATACTATTTAAGAAAGTATCTAGAATAAACAATACTATTTGTGATTAGTAAAATACACCTCATTTAAGATTTTTAGGCAAAAAATTGCTTGCTGATGAAGACTTCGACTTCATCATATTTACATACATGTTTACATTGCCTACATTGAGAGTCTTAATGGCTAATAATTTATATTTACTAATCAATTTATTGTACATGCTTCCTGCTATGTTAAAACAGGGAAAAAAAAAACCAAACTACTTTGAAAAAGCAAGGTGTTAATGATTCCAAATTACTATTTCTAATACAAACCAATGAGCATGAAACATCATGTTTCTCCTAGAAATGATAATTAAAAGAGACAATGCAGGACAAAGCAAAGCAATGGACAGTCTCACATTTACGGAGGGAGGACTGCAAAATTTCTATCTTAGGCAACACAAATCTATTACAATGAAACCCTGATTTCCCCTATGTCTGAGTACAGACTAAATTTAAAATAATAAAACCCCACCTAGTAGAAAAAAACAAATTATGTAGTCCTGTAGCTAGGGTCTGTTAAAAGAAACCAGCCAAGACATTTTCAGACCTCATGAGCCTGATCCTAACACGCAGTTATGTGCCAGGGATTCCTGCAGTATCAAGAGATTACACTTAAATGAACCACGAATCCCTTCAAATCTTGTATCTTACTGGGAGATTGCTGGATTTAGGACAAACTTGGCTGTAGAAAACACCACAGCCTTTTCCCAAACTTCTTCGTGTCTAAGAGCTAGATTGGGTATGACGTTCCAGGGGTGGTTTACTCACAGCTAAAGTACAATTAACATAGAATACAATGTAAACATCATTTATAAATGCCCAAATACAGAAGTGTCTGAAACTGGATTCAAAATACTCGTCAAAGCATCCACTCTGCCTGCTAAGAAGGATCTCAGCCTGCAGCACTCCACCCCGGCAGACAGTTGCCATAGAAACAGCATTTCTCACCGTGCACTCCTTGCTGGGGGCAGAGGGGCAATGGGAAGTCATGCATTCACAGTTATTTTTACAATTTTATAGATTATCTATTATTTAGAAATCTGTGCAGACATTTGAATTTTGTTTCGTGGAAAGTACTTCCTGTATTTTATCTATATAAATATGATTTGTACTTGAAAGACAGAAAATGTTCATGAAGTAGAAAACGATGGCTGCAATGCTACCAAGTATACTTTATGAAAGGATTTTAGACACCGTAAAGTGATACCACTGTAAAATCAGGGAAAACACCAACCTGTATGCAATTAGCACACAGATAGGCTCTATTTTAAAAACAAATTTACCCTAGCTCAGACACATCTACAGTTTTTTTACATATCTGGCGAACTAAGAACTGAAATAATTCTAAATTGTAATCTGAACCCGATTCAAAGATCACAACCCAAGAGTCTTCACTCAGCTAATTAATTAAAATTAATAAGGATACACTTACCTGCCTAAGAACAATTCAGGAAGACGTGGGATTTCAGGACTGTTAGATCCAATATTATCTTAAAGCAAATTCATTCACCATCAGCTAACAGGAACCACAGCCTATTACAATCACTTGCACACCTGTTAACTGCACAAGTTGCTTCAGGCTGATCTACCAGGGTGGCATGAACCCCTCGGTTCATCTTCAGTGAATGCCCAATCTTTATAAAAGACCTAGGCTTGAGAAACTAGAGAACCTTCTGGTGAAGAAACGCTAAGGGAAAACCACTGAACACTTACGACACTATAATCCATGAAATAAACTGTTAAATTGGCGTTTTTTTTGCCAAAATTCATTCATCCACTGATGTGTCACAGACCACTACGCTTCCAAAGCCTAAATTCAGGTAGGATTCTTCTAAAACAGTATCTTAGCATCTTTAGAAGTATCTTCTCAACACTCTTGTTGAGAAGAATAACATTTTTCATCAAAATACCATAAATGGAAGGATTTATGTACACTCACTGAAACAAGTTGCGTTAATGAATTTAATCCCCAAACTGTGCAGTGCAAAACCTGAGCCTAGAACACCCCTCCGCTACGGGGACTTGGCGTCCCAGATACAGTCACAATTTCATTCCTTCCTTCCTGCCTCTCTCCATAAATCTTGTGGTTCCTCTCTGCATAAGGTTCAATTTCAAATCAGCAAAGGGTAGGGACCGTGGTGAAGAAGTACAAATGTGTTCCACTCCAGCCCTGTCTATAATCTGGTGATTACAGATCTTATTTTATGGGAATGACATTTTACAAGTCCATCAATTCTCTTACTATTGGGGCAAAACACTCTTTAATTCCTAGAGTAGTGAAAAAGAACAGCACCAGTTTTGAATAATGTCAGCAGGAGAGAAAGTCATTAAAGGCAGCACAACCACCCAGGGGACACAGTGCTCAGCCAAAACCCTGACACGCAGCAGGAGTGAGGATTTATGGGGTTTCCTCTGTGGGATCTGGGCGCTTAATGCTATGCAGCCACACCTATGACATGTTAATGCTTCTTTGGATGTTCTCAAGAGATACAAATTATTGTGCTAAAGCCAACCCCCACCTGTTACACTCAGCTCTTCTAGTATTTTAAGTATTGTTCCCCTGCCTGGAGAGGTTTCGTCCTTGAAAGCATGCAGCTTTCAAATAAAGCAGTATTAGCTGCATATATAAACGAACATTTCTTTACATATGTTACAGCTATTTAGGATTTTTACAGGAGGTAGAAAAAGAAATACTGCTTATGCTAACAAATAATTTCTCCTCTCTTTCAGCATCGTGGTGGGTCCTCAATAACAACTAGAAGCTGTGGTTCTAAGTAATGTTAACGTTGCATTGTTTTTCATTACAATAACATTCATATAGCACTGTACAGGTGCGCTGGGTTCTGAATTTATGATGTGATGCTGTTTGTTATTATAGATGTGATCTTTTCCATTTTAAAATACGGAAGAATGCACATTTGTTACCTTCTCTTCCTGTGACTAGTTCAGTGAAATGATGCATTCTAAAAGCTGAAATAACTATGCTAAACTGTTTATTGTGTATATTCAGTCCAAACTGTCACAGAAAAATGTATCTTCAGTGGCATGACTAAATATTTGTGACAAGTTTTAGTCTTACGTTAATAAACAACTGTTACTTAATGCTGCTGTTTTCTCCTTTTACAGAAGAAACAGGTATGAATATGAACACACATTTTCATAAATATCTTATGCTTTAGAGAAACTGTAAGTCATTAATTAGGCGAATAAACACAGGGACACCTTTTTGTGTTTACAGAATTCCACTCACAGGAAATCTGCTGCCCACAATAAGACAACGCAGTATCATTTTCTCCTCACAGCCCCCAGCCCCTATCCTCACAAGAGGAAACCCGTCTGCCTATCTACAAAGCTGCTTTGAATCCACAGACTTAACATTTCATAAACAATTTGCTTTGAACCCCATGTCCTGAACACTCAGCACATATTTTGATTAGATCACTGGCAGCTCGCTAGAAACTCCCAAGAGAAACCGCTGTTAGAGCATAAATAGCAACAAACGTGGAAGTAGAAATACCTTCCTCCCTAAGAAGTCTTGCTGTTGTCCCCTGCATCTGAGCAGTGTGTCCTCCAGCCTAAGAATGAAAGGCGAGCGATTACTGTAACCTCACACCTCCACAACAGGCTGACAAGCTCTACACACCAAACAACCACTCTCTCCACTCATCTAGCAGTCCAAAGTTACAAGCAGCACCCAAAAAGTAACCTGAAAGTCATATTCAATAAAGTATCTTCTTCACTGTAGGATTTCTCTGTTTTTATTTCAACTCAACCAGCACATTACCATATGTAATTAAAAGCGAGGAATTTAGACTACAAATGAGCAATCTTCATTGCAGTAAGGTTCCATATCCTAGAAACCACGACCAGAAATCTGACGCTCAAGACTTAAGAAGGGTGTCACATTTAGGTACCTGCACGCAACCAAGGCATCTTAGCTCCTATTGTATCAATGGAGTTCTGAGGCAAAATTCATTGCCTAAACAGCATCTAATTTGTGGAACTCCGCAAAAGTGAATGATTTCAGTACTGAAGTCCACAGCTTTCCCATACTGACAAGATCCAACTGCTTCTTAAAAAGGCACCCAAACAGTCATACTACACTCACAAATGATAGATCAGTGAAAGTTTCAAGGTTTCTTGTCTTTAACAAAGTAAAAGTGAAACTACTTATATTCCTGAAGATCTGGCTCACTGCACTGAGGTTTAGGGTATTTTTCCTTTTCATTGGAAAATCTGTAATAAAATTATTCTTAAAGTAACCTGCTCCAAAACTTTATAGCAATTAGGTGCTGGAGGAGGGGGGGGAAGTTCTAACAGGTCATGTGTCTGTCTAACCATTATTCTCTTTGTATATTTACTAGTAAACAAACACTTTGATGAATCATACATGAGAACAAGTTTGAGAAGTTTCACTTAGGAGTTTTGAGAGCTACACACAGAAATTGCCTTCAACACATACTGAGGAAAAGATCAACAGGACTCACTCTAAAATACTCCCAGTGATTAAAAAACAAACAAGATTTCAGTTCTTTGTAACATTACTCGTAAACAACATATAAACAGAATACACTTTCAAGCTTACTTTAATTGGCTAACTGCTGCTAAAAAAGAAACTAAACTCAAACACACTTATTTGCATAGTTCAGGGAAAGAAATCTAATGTCTACCAAATGCAACTTCAAAGTTTTCCGTACTGTTGCAATTACCATTCAACACATTGGCATTTAGCTTCAATTGTCATCTGTGACAGAGGCTAAGAAATTGGCTGCAGTGCCCAAATGATGTTACTGTAGGTCTGAATACAGGTTTTGAAGGTAATTATATTCATACAAAATAACAATTAATAATGCTTGTCAACTGAAGAATGCTTTCAGGAAATACTCAAACAGCAGCTTTCCACTTCACTATTAAATAGTATACTAATCTAAGAAAAAATGTTAAAGAATTAACTATGTATTGGTATACCCATTTACCCATATGAGACACGCCATTAAGATCTGTCTTGCTCCTCAATTTGGCCCATTACTACCACTTTTCGAAGTCAGAAGCACTGGGTAATTATTTACAAAGAACTTTAAGGAATGCCACATGTAGACAGCTCTCTTGTTCTGATCCATGATGAGTGAAGATTTCTCGTTTTAGTGAAACTGTTAGTACCAAGAGACTTCGTACCATGAAAGAAGGTAAGTATCCACAAAATATTAAGGAATCTCTTGTGTCAAGATGGAGATTTCAGCTGAAGAAAGAAAAGAAGGGGGGAGGGGGGGAGGAAAAAAAATACTAAGCCACAGGAGTACATACCCTAAGACTTCTGAGATTTGACACAGACAGTATTTGTTGTTCCATTATTGCTGCTAAGGACGGGAGGTGTGAGCAACCAAAAAGCCCCAGTCAAGTATTGGTTTAGAATTTATGGTCAGACAAACTATATGGCCACATAACACAGACAATTCAAAGACAAAACTCTGTCACAGTAAAATGTAAAATTATTTATTTTCATTGTACTTGTATTACCATCTCAGGCATTACAAATTAAAGGTTTGACTTTTAAAGCATTCAGGGAATTACAGGAAGCAACAGGCATTTCCTTAAGTTTCACAGGGTCCTACTTTCATCTGTAGGCACCCAAGTACCTTCAAAAATCATAAAGATCTACATCATATGTAGCTCCTTCATTGATGGATTTCTCATCTTCCAAAAAACCTGTCACTTCTTGCATATGTCAATAAAAGAGTTGCTCTTTTCCTGTAAGACAAACAAACCCTCAAATTACTTCAGTTATAAGAGGTCATTTAAATGAAGTTTTCATGGGTCTGCTAATAACCCTTTTCTACTCCATGTACATTTAACAATTTGGTATTTTCTTCATTAAGGCAAGCAATTCTACTTTCATTAATAGTAGAGATTTAATCTGAAATCTTTCTGGCAGATTATGTCAACACAGTAACATCAGTTGAGTTCAAATGCTGAGTATAGTTAAGCCTGACCTCTACATCTCAAAAAACTCCAGTGTCTTTCAGGACAAATGCAACCCACAGCCCACTAGCTGTAACAACAGCATCTCCCTTGTACAAGTCACTCTAGGCAGCTGTCTCCATCTGAACATATGGCTTTCACTCACAGATGGGCATATACTCCAGCAGTGACTTCAAAAATTCTGAACTAGGGAAGTCTTAAGATGGATAAGAAATGCCTGAATACTCAATTCAGTGCCAACTGCTGACAACGACCTGCTCCTAAATACAAGCTCAGTGACATGTTGTAGGATTGCCTGTCATCATAAATTTATTTGGAGGCCTCCTTCTCCCCCTTTTAAGCACCATTCATTTAATTTACAAATCCATCTCACCAATCCCTCTCGTTTCTATGCAGAAAAATGGGTGACATGGGATCAGTCAACACACTGGAACTTTCCCATGTAGCTAGAGAATCTGCTGCATGAAGAAAACAGTGCAGAGAAAAGAGGATGGATAATAGAATACCTGAACACCGCTTACTGTTCAGTAAATTAAGTGGTTTTACACACTCCACTGAAAACAAATCCTGAATAATGGTATCATCTGGATACAAACATTCTACTATCATTTCTGGTGCTGCTCTACCAAAAGAGTACTGTCTTTAGATTACTTGTTATCAGGACGCCACCAGCAAAACTGCACAGATATCGACCTCAGAACTTATCTTAGATATCCTGGGAACAACAACATTCAGGTAATTTCTCACTATCATGTCAGCTCTGCTACAGGATGTCCTTAAATTTAGACTGTAAGCCTCCCACCATTCCAGAAATCACAAAGGCTACGAGGATGATTTTTGATTTATTTTTAATTTTTAACTAATTGGAACATCTGATAAGATCTGATCAAAGAGACACAGCTTTCACAGCCTCCCCAAACCAATCTTTTCTCCACTGTGAGGGTGACCAAGCACTGCAGCAGACTATGCAATCTCTCCACAGAGAGGTGGTGAAGTCTCTGCCTGTGGAGATACTCAAAACCTGACCGGACACAATCCTGGGTAATCTGCTCTAGCTGACTCCGCTCGAGCAGAGGTGTTGGACTAGGTGATCTCAAGAGGTCCCTTCCAAACTATATGATTCTGGGAAATTTATTAAAAGCTACTGAAAACATGCTCAGGAAAGAAAAAAACAAACAAGCAGAAGAAGCCCCAAACCCAAAACAAGGCTGTAGATTATAATTCCGTCTCATCACTAAACAGATTAGAAAGAAACAGCATGTGGAAAACACTGTTTGCATCAAAACTAAAGCTGTTTGTATTTGTCCTATAGGCTTCCTGCTATTAATCAACTCGTTCTCTACTTCATTGTGGAATGCTCAAACTCCGATATCCAGTCTCAATAAGCAAGGTGTCACACAAAGCAGGCAATTTAACATGACAGACTGATGTCACCGTATTGCACCAGAAATCACTGCCTTTTATGGATAAATTAGTTATGAATTTATCTTCACTTTTTCTTTGATTCCAAGTGCCTTCTCAGATTACATGGTCAAGAGTCATGGATCATTTTTCCTCCAATCTACATATTATAAAAAGCGTTAAGAAAAACCCGTAACAGGCTCAATCATTTTACAGGGTATTGGGCTCAGACTATTCTCTTTTGAGATAAACCCTCTCCCAGACAGAAAAACTGTTTATTCAGCATCACTGTTTTAAGAAGAGCTATACACCAATGAGCCCTGCACTCCGAACAGAGACCTCTATTTCCACGTTGACTAATCAGTCCTGTATTTCATGAAACTCTCACTAGTAATGTTTTCCAAGAGATGCAGCTAACTCAGAAGAGGAAATAATGCAGGACTTAGTCTCATGAAATTTCTGTAGTTAGTGGGTTTTTTTTCTTCTGATTTTGAAGTGTGTTTATCACTCCTCATTCCTGAAATTCAACATGTATCTTTTCACACTAATAGTGAGACCTGAAGGTAAGATCCATTAGATGACAGGTCGAGGCAAATCTAAAGCATTCCTGGGTAAGATTCAGCTTCTATTCTATTCACAGATTCTTATATTTGGATTACCATACAGAAAAACTTAACATCTCCAAGTGCTTCGATCTTTTCATAGAAAGTGACTAGCCAGGTACGGTACATATGCCCCACACATAACATTTTTATTTCAGTATATGGCAATGGGATTTCTAACAAAGCTCAAAATACTTTAACCGAGATCTTACAAAGGTCTTGGAAACAACGGTAATTTTTTCCTCTTACTTGCCAATCATGAAACCACCTAGTGAAAAGCAAGCTGGTATATCCATGCTGGCATACAAAATACATCTCAAGACAGTCCACATCCAAAGAACGTCTCTGTTTAATTCACATTAATACACCCCCAAACTCCCAAATTACTAAAAAAACAATGTCTACACTAGAATTCCATACTAGAATACGAGTGGCTAATTTTATCCTATATTAAAGCCAAAACATTTATTCTAGTCAATTCAGAAGAAAAAAAATACGGACTGTCTCTGACCAAGTTTCATACCTATAATGTGGAACTAACTTCTGAAGTATGACTGGCAAGCTAATAATATCATCTTTATATACTAATGAGATCAGTATACTTGCAATACCCTTTTCAACACTGTCTCCAAGCTCACACAGCAAATTCATCAGCCGTTGCTTTCTTTCATTAACAGGATTTTTTTTCTTTAGCTTCCTACTCAACCATCCATACTTCGTGCTTAAGACATCAATAGTAGTAGCTAAGGGAAACACTTTATGCTACTCTTATACAACATCCTGACTAATAACACTTTGTAATTTACCCATCCCCTTTTGCAGATGAATAGAATTAGCAAACTCACTGCTTTTTTATCTGTGTGATAAACTAGCATACGCAGGTGGGGGCTTACATAAAGCACAGAAAAGACTTTAATAGCAGTCCTCGCAGTCAGTGAAATACTCTTATTTCTAAAGACAAGACTATATATAACTGGATACACTTATGACATCATCCTACAGACATAGATCCTCTAGCCCCAAACCAATCTCTTAAAACACATGCAACCCATCTTGGTTTACACCAGCTTTTACTACCCTTCTTTCCCTCTACCCAAATTATTTGCCATTTAGCCATGTCATGAGCAATTTCAGAGTTCATTTGTCCACTGATTTCATTCTGGGCAGTGTCCTCCTTTACCTACATCCATGGTGAAAAGTGGATATATCAACAAAACTTGTCAGA